AAGGTGAAAAGGAATGTTTAATTATAATTTCAATAGTAATATGGATAGTTGGAGTTTAGCAGTATTCATCTTTTTAAATAAACCTGGTTATATAAATACCTTCATCTTAATGTTATTTATTTCATTTTATGCTCTTTCATTATATCTTAATTTAAGTGTATAGTGATAACTTATACCCGTGATGGCGAACCTATGGCACGCGTGCCACAGTGGCACATGGTGCCATATCAGGGAGCACGTGAGCCATTGCCGGGAAACGGGCCATTTCCTGCCTCCAGAGGACTTCCAGTGGACCTCCAGAGGGCTATTTTCACCCTCCCCAGGCTCTAAGAAAGGCGTGTGCGCATGCGTGGGGCAGCAGGGGGTCACATTCATATACGCAGGGGACACGGCGGGCATTAAATTATAGGTGAGGGCACATGAGTGGGTATGATAGTGCACACACACGTGCTTTTGGCACCCGAGGTGAAAAAGGTTTGCCATCACTGCCTTAATCAGTATAGGGTAGCAACTATGTTCGATCTGGGTATCTGCTGAATGTAAAATACAATACAACCAGACGTGGTATTCTGCCAGTTCACGCGTTTGGGCGAACCGGTAGTGGCGGTGGTGGGAGGCTCTACACACCAGCCCATATGTCATCACAGATGCTCTGCACATGTGCAGAAGCATTTCCTGCCTGAATACAACCATTAATTGTTCCAACTTTCCAACTTTCAATCAGTGTGATGAGTTTACTGAATTAGCCCTAAGTGTCTGACTTTACACAAACAAATCACACTTAGATCATTTTAATTTTATTTATTAAACAAACAGGTCTGTATTATTTAATACAGATCTGTATTATTTAATTTTATTTATTAAACAAACAGATCTGTATTATTTGTCCAATTTTCTAGGACTACATTGCCAAACCATATTTTAGCCTATTGTTTTATGCATAGTCAGCGAGTGGTTGGGTTCTCTGTTTAACCTGAGCCAAAGTTTTAAAAACAATTTGTTAAATAAATCCCATTTGCTATGTTTATAAGGCAGACTATGATGTCGAATTGAAGTTAAATGCAATCTGAGCTTTCTGTTTCATTGATACAGCAAACAGCTACTATCTTCAACTCAATATTATACCCTCCTAAGATATAACTTATAATAAATGAATCTAAAAAATAGCTCAATTATTATGATAAACCTAACATCTTGATTGGAGAATACATTAATATGCAGGAAGGAAGTATAACCTAATATGGCTTTTGGCTGTTGTAACCATTTCCAAGTATGTTGTGCAGACACAGCCAATAGCTGAGTTTATATGAAATGTTTACCTGTAAAATTTACTAATCACAAAAGCTACTTCATAAAACAGCTAAATCATAAACCAAACAAACAACATTATAGCTTAATAACACCTGCACATTGAGTGCAACATGTGCTGTTTCGTGCAATATGCTAAACCACAATGTGATAGGTTTGCTTTGGGCTGAATGAAGCCAGCTACTGTAGTCTTCCAAACCATGATTTATGAGGTTTTTGTGACACAGTGGTTGTGGCAGGAGAACCAGAGAATTACTGCCTTCCCCAAAATGGGGCCTGTCTAAGGGCTTGAGACTGTAGTTCCCAGAGACTTTCTATATGAAAATATAATTTTATACCACTTTATAATGGCCTTGGTAAGGCCACACTTGGAATACTGCATTCAGTTCTGGTCACCACGATATAAAAAAGATGTTGAGACTCTAGAAAGAGTGCAAAGAAGAGCAACAAAGATGATTAGGGGACTGGAGGCTAAAACATATGGAGAACAGTTGCAAGAACTGGGTATGTCTAGTTTAATGAAAAGAAGGACTAGGGGAGACATGATAGCAGTGTTCCGATATATCAGGGGTTGCCACAAAGAAGGGGGAATCAAATTATTTTCCAAAGTACCTGAGGGTAGAACAAGAACTAATGTGTGGAAACTAATCAAGGAGAGAAGCAACTTAGAACTAAGGAGAAATTTCCTGACACTTAGAACAATTAATCAATGGAACAACTTACCTCCAGAAGTTGTGAATGCTCCAAGACTGGAAGGTTTTAAGAAGATGATGGATAACCATTTGTCTAAGCAGGGGGTTGGACTAGAAGACCTCCAAGGTCTCTTCCAACTCTGTTATTCTATCATAATTTAAGGAAATCAGCATTATAACTATCCTCTTAGAAATTGATTACATGTATTTTTGTTTCAAAGTCATCTAATTTTCTGCATACACAAGGAAGATTTCTTAAAACTTACTCAGCTTTTAGCAGTTAAAAGTTACGGAAATCTAAGGCATCCAAAGCCCTGAAACTTATTGTAAAGCCAAATTAAGTGCAAGTTTGCACATGTATATTTCCTGAATCATTGCTACAGCATCAGAGGATGATTTGCAAATGCCCAAAACACCCTTTGCAAGCCCCAAACTGCACAGGAGGGCTTTGACATCACTCTATGCTTCAGCTGTGATTAATGAAGTTAGACATTCACAGGTGTGAAATTACAGAAGGGTTACGCTACAGAAGAGAAGGACAAAAGAAGCATAGGAATCTTGAAAGTAGGCTGGAGTTGGCCATATTCTAGGAAATCTGTGTCTCAGCTGACATCATTTTAGGCATGATTGTTCTTGTATTTGTAAAGTGAGCCCTACTTGGAGAGTTTATGCTATGAAATCAGTGGCAAACTGTATAAGGCTGTTTGGGGTAAACAATTTGTATTACCTTATATTGGAAGAATTTTAAGATAATATTTTTGGAATGACATTTAATCCGTCATGTTCAAAATGTTAACGTAGATTCTTCCATTTCCTCAAACACAGACCATATATGTATATTATTTGTTGCTCCAGGGATAACCTTAATGGTATTTTGGTCAGCCAGAGAGACACTGAACTGTATGTTCTGTGGCCAACACAAGAGTGTCATTTTTATTTTGCTCTTGTTCTGTCATAATAGATGGTGGGTAGATTCACGCAAATAATCCAGAGCAATTGAGCCTTTTTAATTAGGCTGCCAAAAATATAACGTTAACTGAAAGTCCAACTTTACAAGATTCTTTGGCTTGTAGGACTTACTTGCTCATAGTTATTTGATATGATTAACTGATTTTTCTGTCTCACGCTCATCTTCTAACCATGTGCAATCCATTTATAAAAATGATTGCCTGATTCAGTGTTTCTCAGCTTTGGCAGGTTGAACATATGTGTTCAAGAATTCTTAGAATTCTGAGAGTTTAAGTCTGCACATCTTCAAACTGCCACAGTTGAGAAACATTGGCCTGGTTTGGAATTCAGAGCATTGTGTCAGTACTACTATGGTGGTCAATCCTGACAGTGCAATGCAGGGGTGTCAAACTCATGGCGTCATGTTATCACATGACATATCACAACTTCCCCCCCCTTTGCTAAACCAGGGGGGCGTGGCCAGCGCGTGACGCATCTGGCCGTGTTTAACATCCCTGGTGCAAGACTGGAATCCTCCTGGTTCGGCCGAACTGGTAGGGATGATTGTCCCTGGTTCTGCGAACTAGTAGCGAAAAAAGCTTCCAAGGATCGTGCGGCTCAGCTGTGAGCGGTGCAATCATGGGAAGCTCCCCCCCCCCCTGCTTTTTAAAGCATTTTTTTCCTGCTGGTTTGGGCGAATAGGCAGGAAAAAAGTGCTTTAAAAAGTGAAAAAAGGAGCTTCTGATGATCGTGCGGATCAGCTGTGAGCCGCACGATCGTCAGAAGCTTCCCCCCCACCCACTTTTTAAAGCATTTTTTTCCTGCCTAATCACCAGAACCCGCAGGAAAAAAATGCTTTAAAAAGTGGGGAAAAGTTGGCCAAGCCCACCCAGTCACATGACACTCACCACCACCAAGCCACGCCCAACATAACTGGTGGGCAAAAAAATTTCATTTTACCCCTGCCCTGGTGTAATGCATTTTGCAGAGATCTTCATTAAATTTTGGAATGAGGCTATTGGGTTTTAAGATCATGAAAAAAAGACAGTGTGCCTTGCCTGACAACTGTATATGAGAAAGCTTACACAAATAACATCTGAACCTTCTAAAATAATTATCTATGGACCTTTATGTGATTGAGATATCTGGGAACATGCTTGTTTTTTAAAATATAATGAACTTTAGTAACTTAATGTGCTTGTCATTTTAAAGATATAAATGCATAAAAATTCTTTTTAGGATAGCTGTTTGTTACAATTTGCAGTAATAGACTGACCCCTTATTAATCCTGACTTAAACAGTATTCAATTTTTTTTTCTTTTAGGCCATTCCACGTAGAACCAACAAACATTGTCAGGGTCAACGATGATGCACAGAGAGTAACAGATGAAGCTTCAGCAATGAACAAGCGGATTCACTACTACAACAGACTCACTTCGCCTTCTGACAGAGCATTGGTGAATAAAAGTTGAACTATATTAGCTAGAAAAGCCATGACAGACCTGGATGCTTTCTCAATTATTTAATCTCTACTAGGAATACTCTATCAGACATAATCTGATTTTTCTGCATGGCCTAAGAGTGGTCCTTTCAGCTTGTTTTTTTTAAATCAATTTGTATATTGGAAAGAAAGATGTAATGTCTGATTGTGTTTGTCAAAAAATGGATTATAAAAAAAGTAGATGTATGAGGATCTGCATATTTCTCTACATAAAATTACTAAAGGTGGCTTCATAAATAATTTCATATTTCATTAGTAGTAACATCTGAGAAGCCTATTTCAAAGCAGAGCAAATCCTTTCAACGTAAAGTTGAACAGACCAATTTCTGTGTCAGACAAAAGAAAAAGTACCGGTACTCCTTGACTTATTGCTCCATTTCTGTTGTTAAGTGAGTTTTGTCCCCTTTTACAACTTTTCTTGCCGCAGTTGTTAAGTGCAGTGAATCACTGCAGTTAAGTTAGTAACCTGGATGTTAAGTGAATCTGGCTTCCCTGTTGACTTTGCTTGTCAGAAGGTTGCAAAAGTTGATCACATGATCCTGGGACACAGGCAAAGGTCATGAATATGAACCAGTTTGCCAAGCATCTGAACTTTGATCACATGATCATGGGGATGCTGCAAAGATCGTAACTGTGAAAAATGGTCATAAGTCAATGCTGTTGTATCTTTGAATGGTCACTTAAATGAACTGTTGTGAATTGAGGTCTACCAGTATTTAATCTGAGCCAGGACTGAGTAATTTTTATATTTAGTCTTAAATTTATTTATTAAATCTATATGCTTCCCATCTCACCATCAGTTGACTCCAAGAGGTTTACAACAAGATAAAATAACAATGCAAAGTATTAAAATGATAAATATTAACAGTAAAATTAACAATGATGGCTAAGGAAGGAAGCAAAATACAAAATGGGTGGAGCAGTGGTGGGATTCAAAANAATACCTTCATCTTAATGTTATTTATTTCATTTTATGCTCTTTCATTATATCTTAATTTAAGTGTATAGTGATAACTTATACTCGTGATGGCGAACCTATGGCACACGTGCCACAGATGGCACATAGTACCATATCAGCAGGCACATGTGCCATTGTCCTAGCTAGGCTCCAGCATGCATGATTGCGCTGGCCAGCTGATTTTCAGCTGGCCCGCCCACACTGCCCTTCCCTTCCCAGTAGTGTCCATGCAATACCATCTAAGTACAGGGCTCGTGCTGAGGCTCTGGGAGGGCGTCTTCAGCCTCTGGAGGACTTCTGGGAGGCATAAGGGAGTCCATTTTTGCCCTCCCCAGGCTCCAAGAAAACTGCTGGGACCTGGGAAAGGTGAAAAAGGACCTACTGGGCCCACCAGACGTCAGAAAACAGGTCATTGCAGCCTCCAGAAGGCCTCAAGAGGGCCTTCAAGGAGTAGGAGGGCATTTTTGCCCTTCCCATACTCTTAGAAAGCCTTGAGCCTGGGGAGGGTGAAAAACTGACCTACCAGGTCCACCGGAAGTCTGAAAATGGGTCATTTCTGGCCTCTGGAGGACGACTGGGGGGCGGGGGAAGACTGTTTTTGCTCTCCTCAGGCTCTTAGAAAACAGCAGAGACCTGGGGAGGGTGAAAAATGGGCCCAACGGAAGTCGGGAAACTGGCCATTTCCTGCCTCCAGTGGACCTCCAGAGGGCAGGGGGGGCTATTTTCGCCCTCCCCGGGCTCCAAGAAAGGCGTTTGCACATGCAGGGGGAGCAGGGGGTCACATGTATGTACGCAGGGGGCACAGCACAAGGGGCATTATAGGTGAGGGCACTTGAGTGCGTATGATAGTGCACACATACGGCTTTTGGCACCCGCAGTGAAAAAGGTTTGCCATCACTGCCTTAATCAATATAGGGTAGCAACTATGTTCCATCAGGGTATCTGCTGAATGTAAAATACAATACAACCAGAGGTGGTATTCTGCCAGTTCGCCCCGTTTGGGTGAACCGGTAGTGGCGGTGGTGGGAGGCTCTACTCACCAGCCCAGATGTCATCACAGATGCTCTGCACATGGGCAGAAGCATTTTCTGCCCGAATACAACCATTAATTGTTTCTTCCAACTTTCAAGCAGTGTGATGAGTTTACTGAATTAGCCCTAAGTGTCTGACTTTACACAAACAAATCACACTTAGATCATTTTAATTTTATTTATTAAACAAACAGGTCTGTATTATTTAATACAGATCTGTATTATTTAATTTTATTTATTAAACAAACAGATCTGTATTATTTAATTTTATTTATTAA